TGACATCTCCACTGCCTCCAGCCTTCTCCTCGTTGCAACATTCGTCACCCATGCTTCACACCCATATAAAAGGGTTGGTAAAACTATACTCTAATACATTCCCCTCTTTGCCTCAAAGGACAAAGTTCTTTGTCTCCACAGACTCCTAAGTGCACCGCTCACCCTTTTCCCCTCATCAATTCTATGATTCACCTCATCTTTCATAGACCCATCCGCTGACACGTCCACTCCCAAATATCTGAATACATTCACCTCCTCCATACTCTCTCCCTCCAATCTGATATCCAATCTTTCATCACCTAATCTTTTTGTTATCCTCATAACCTTACTCTTTCCTGTATTCACTTTTAATTTTCTTCTTTTGCATGCCCTACCAAATTCATCCCTACCAAATATATATATACATGCGTATATACATAGATACATGTATACATGAATCCGAACTCGAGATAAGTTGTACTAAACGACTGTCAATGAATAACCAAAAGAATGAACGGTGATTCGAACCTTTGTCCTAACTGGTACAGGACTGGACCTGTTATCAGTCAGAACCCCGGTTCGAGTCCACGTTCATTCTTCTGTTTATATATACATGTATACGTATATACACATATGTTCAAATCCCAGAAACAGCTATCTGGGTATCTTTACCGATGAATAAGATACCTGGGTATCTTTACCGATAATTAAGACATGGGCAACACCTGGGTACCTTTATTGATGAATAAAACACATGGGTATCTTTACTGTCGAAACGTCTCGCCTGTTCAGCAGGCTTCATCAGTTGAATACAAGCAAATATAACACTGGAGAGGAGAGAAGAAGTAACTCTGAGATCAGTCCCTCATCTTTGACAGGAGGGAATCCGTCCCCTCAGCCAACAACAGACGCATGTGGCCAAACACAAGGCTTTATCATCTGCCGTAAGCTGGGAGACTGATCCTCTCCAGTGCTATATTCGCCTGTTTTTCGCCTTAAGAAACTGCTGTGCTGGCGAAACGTTACAACATAGACAACCAGATGCCGCAAATGCGTCTTATTCATCAATAAAGATACATAATTACTGCCTATGTGTCTTTGTCATCAACACGTGAAGAATAAAACCTGAGGACAACTAATGGGAATAATACCAGACCTTGTTGATATTTGATGTCTTCTCAGTAAAGGATCACCGGTCAACAAAGGATCGCATTATTCTGCATTTGTGTATGAACTGTGTCAGATCTCTCAGGAAAGTCCTCTTTACTTGCTCCTCTTCTTTCCCTTCCCCCTTCCTCTTAATCTCATCCCGTTCCTTTTAGCCTTCCCCTTACCTTCTTTAAAACCCCGTCCCTGCCTTTCAACCCTCTCCTCCAAGTCCCTTTCCCATCCATGTAAACCCCTACCCCCATCACCCATCCCTCCTCCCTCTCTTCTTAACCCCCCCCTCATCACCCCTTACTTTCATGCTTTCATGACTCCCTCAGTCTCTCCGACAGTAAATTATATCATTTATTACCAGCAATTAATGTTTTGTAAGCGTCTTACACAGATAATTCCAGTATTTGTACACATGAAGACGGAGTTTGTCTTGAAGTGTGTTCTTGAAGACACCATTCTTGCTTTAAGGACAGGGAAGTCATTTTTAAGTGTCTTTAAATGGTTATTTAACTCGGTTCTAGAAAGGCTCGAAAAAAAGATTCTGACAGAGAATAAAAAAGCGTTTAAAGTCCTAAGAACAAACGTGGCTGGAAAAATGGGAGGGGTTGCAGGTGCAGGCACTCGGGCGAGGCGTTCATTGCAACAGGTAAAAGTATTCTTGAGCAAGCATCACCATGTTAGCGGTAGAATCCGGTCAGTCGTGCATCCAGGTCAGTCGTGCATGCAGGTCAGCCATACCTCCAGGTCAGCCATTCAACCAGGTCAGCGCCTCGCGGCTCATCTGGGCGATAAAGTCCTCTCGGGTCAGCCCACAAAGCATAGAGAAATTGCACAGAGGGAGCGGCGCGTGATTGGACTTTATTCCCAAATGAGTTGCCGAGACGCGGGGGTTCCAATCACCGCTGTTCTAACCTGTGGAATTTCTCTTTGCAGGATGTGGCGCTTGACGGCGACGCTGCTGGTGGTGACCCTGGCCTCGGCTACTCCTCAGGGAGGTTATCTTCCTCCTCCACCAGGAGACTACCTGCCTCCAGTTAACTGTCCTCCTGTGAACAAAGTAGTGTACGACACCCGCGTCCAGACCTCAGTCTACGTGCAGACCCAGAACGTTGTTAATACACAGTACGTCAAAACTACTGTGTACAAAGAGCAAGTGATACCCACCACATTCTTCCAGACGCGTTACATCACTCAGGTGCAGTACCAGACCAGTGTGGTCCAGCAGCCGTCTGTCCTCTACATTGACAGAATAGTGACACAAACTGTCCCAAGCCCTCCCGTCCAGCAGACTATCTACGTGACCTCAACTCGCGTAGTGCCACAAGTTAACTACGTGACACGCACGCAGGTCCAGACGCAAGTCGTCCCTGTGGAGGTCACGCAAACACAGATACAGACGAGGTACCAGCCTGTAGTTAACTACGAAACTAAATACCAGCAGCAGACACAAGTGGTAACCATCCCAGGACGCGACGTGGTAGAGACAAAATACCAAACCCAGTACCAAACCTCCATTGTTAAGCAACAGTTGCCAGCAAACACTCGCTATTACACACAAACAAGGTACGAACAGAAAGTGCAGACGCAGGTGATCCCAGGCCAAAACGTATATAGAACCAGTGTGGTTCAGCGCCAACAAGTCATCCCGTACACCTCCGTCAACACTCGCTACCAAAACGTGTACGTGACTCGCGAGCAGGTGGTCTACAAGACCAATGTCGTAACTCAGACCCAAGTCTACACCCAGGTGGTTCCCCATGAAGTCTTGAAAACACAGGTGGTTCCCAACGTCATCTACACCACCCGCTACGAGACACGTGTTCAACCCTACACGCAAGTGCAAACTGTCGTCCAGACACAGTACATCACACCTGCGCCTGTAATCCATACCCAGAAACAGTACCGGACCTCAGTGGTCCAGGTGCCTGGCCAAGACCGCGTGGTAAACAAAGAGGTACTCCAGACCCAATATCAACAACAAGTGGTGTATCAGACTGTCAACCGGCCCCGGCAGGTGGTCGTCACACAGACCATTACAGGAACCTGTGGCAAGACAGGATACAATTACGATTCTCCGGCTGTACCTTTTAACTTCCGAAAGTAAATAGTAAAAAAAAGTCATTAAGAGATAAATTGTTATAAACCATTAGTTAAAAGTTTATATATATAAGATTAGAAAATGTTGAAAAATACTACAAAAAAACAATATTTTTTAAAAGTTTCTTCGAAACAGATTGAACACGACATGTAAAGAATATTATTAAAGTTTAAGAAAATAAATCCCATGTTGTTTGACACTTCCTGTAGGTATTCTGACTTGGATCTTCAGCAGACAAGTAAGTCCTACTGTTATGTTCTTATGTAATATACATTGCTTCTTTTGTTTTTAACTGTTTGATTTAAGCTCATTGTTTCACGATTCCCTCTTCCCTTACAGAATATAATGCGGGGCTTCCTGGTGCTTCTCCTGGTGAGCTTCTCACGAGGAAGCTCGATTGACAGACATCGTCGGGAGCTTCTTGGTAACCTCAATGCTTTAGAGTCGTCACTGGACGGGTACCTGCCACCAGCACCACCAACACCCAAGCCCTGCCAGCCGTCTACCATCTACAACACAAAGGTACAATACTCCACTGTGGTGATTCCCTCTACCGTCTACAACACCAACGTGCAGTATGTCACGCAGACAGACGTGCGGACAAATCCCGTCTACACGACTATCTTCTCGGAAATCATCCGTACACAAGTGGTTCCTTCTGTCCAGTACAAGACAGTCATCATCACCCAAACCAAGGAAAACTATCGCACGCAGGTTATCACTCTGCCTCCCCAGGTCTACTACGTCACTAAAACGCAACAAGACGTGAGGACGCAAGTTCAGTACCAGACTGTTTATACGACTCGCATCCAGCAAGTACCAACAACAATCGTCAGGAACGTGGTCTCGACATTAGTGGTTCCTCAACAGGTAGTCAGCACCATTTACAAGACCCAGTATGTGACCAGAACTCAGCAGCTACCAGGACAGACTCGCACAATCTACAACACCCAGTACAGTACCATCTACTCCACAGTGGTGATACCCGCTCAGGACGTGGTCAAAACGACTGAGGTCGTCCGCACCAACGTGGTCGTTCAGACCATCACACAGCCAGGTCAGACACAGGTAATATACTCCACAGTGGTGGTTCCCGTCACCACCACCATCTACACCGAAGTGGTGATCCCCAACACCCAGATACAGTACTTGACACGGACCCAAGTACAACAGGTGGTCTCCACGTACGTACGCACGCAACAGGTGCCGCAGTACGTTACCAGGACCGTGACAGTACCACAACAAGTAGTGAGTACCGTGGTATCAACACAGGTGGTGCCCACCACCATCTACAGCAAACTTGTGGTACCAACGGTAGAATACCTGCCGGCCCAGACCCAGTACCAGACCGTCTATGAAACAATTGCAAAAACCCAGCAGCTTCCCGGCCAGACCAGAACCCAGTACCAGACCAGAGTGGTCTACAACACCAACTACGTCACTTCCACCGTGTATAAAGACCAGGTCTACACTGTAACATCTACCACCAGCTACCAGCCAAACTGCAACACCGGCTACAACTACCCTCCACCTGCTAAACCTTTCGACCCATACGGTCGCTAATATTTAAAGAATAATCCTAAAATTCTGAGATTAAATGAAAGGAAATGCAACAAAAAAATATCGATAGTCTCTACACATCCATGTTAATGATTTTGAAATGAGCGAAATGTTGGGAAAATGTGATAAATTTTCCTTATCATTCGAGTGGGTGTTATTAAATGCACATAATTGTTACTTTAAATAAAAATTATGATTTAAATTTCTACATATAATACGTTTCCTATACACTGCAAACGAGAGGCAGTTTATACACTGTGTGAAGGGAGTGACTTCTCCTATCACGTTTGTGGTAATACCAGGTAAAAATACTTAGTCCGGATAATAGAATTTGATCCTCTTTGGAACTAGATAATAGAATTTGATCCTCTTTAGAACTAGATAATAGAATTTGATCCTCTTTAGAACTAGATAATAGAATTTGATCCTCTTTGGAACTAGATAATAGAATTTGATCCTCTTTGGAACTAGATAATAGAATTTGATCTTCTTTGGAACTAGATAATAGAATTTGATTTTCTTTGGAACTAGATAACAGAATTTGATCCTCTTTAGAACTAGATAATAGAATTTGATCCTCTTTAAAACTAGATAATAGAATTTGATCCTCTTTGGAACTAGATAATAGAATTTGATCCCCTTTAGAACTAGATAATAGAATTTGATCCTCTTTGGAACTAGATAATAGAATTTGATCGTCTTTGGAACTACATAATAAAGTTTGATCCTCTTTGGAACTAGATAATAGAATTTGATCCTCTTTAGAACGAGATAATAGAATTTGATCCTCTTTGGAACTAGACAATAGAACTTGATCCTCTCTGGAACTAGATAATAGAATTTGATCCTCTTTGGAACTAGATAGTAGAATTTGATCCTCTCTGGAACTAGACAATAGAATTTGATCCTCTCTGGGCGATCGGAAGAGATATCTCTCATGAACTTACAATGTTATTAGATGTGAGCTCAAATTTACTTGCACAAGATATTCCAGACTCAGGACAATGTGGTCACTGGCACCGAGGAGGGACATTCACATGTAACATTATCTATGCCAGAGTCACTTAGGGTGAATACAAGGTCTAGTCTTGCTCTGAAGGATTAGTGTCAATGACTGGTGGTGAACAGGTTTAGGTTAGGTTAAGGTTCGTCGGGAAAGAGGACAAATGTCTTGTCGTGAGAGTTCGTGACGAGATATTGGAGTAAGAAATACGAAATACACACACTGGATATCTTGGATGCTTATAATTAAGAGAGTCTTGAGGACAATCTTAGTCACGTGATGACCTGCAGCTGGAGCAGGTCAAGTGAAGCCTTAATGACCCTCGTTTAGACGACAAGTTTTGAACATTATTCGCCAACTACGGGTTCACATCTTCAAAAAACTGAAGAAAACAAGTAAAAGGGATCACAGAACAGAGCCGTCATTACCGGACGGATGATCGAGGCTTAATACTCCCCACGCTCAGTAATCCAAACGGTTTTAACGCTTCAAGAAAATAACTAAGATAAAATAGGACATAATAAACGATAACTGATACATATTGAGAAGACAATGACCAAACTGAAAACAATGAACAGGTATATACACCGAGAAGTGTATACCTCACAGTATATACACCGAGAAGTGTATATATCACAGTATATACACCGAGAAGTGTATACCTCACAGTATATACACCGAGAAGTGTATATCTCACAGTATATACACCGAGAAGTGTATACCTCACAGTATATACACCGAGAAGTTTATACCTCACAGTATATACACCCGATAAGTGTATACTCACAGTATATACACCGAGAAGTGTATATCTCACAGTATATACACCGAGAAGTGTATATCTCACAGTATATACACCGAGAAGTGTATACCTCACAGTATATACACCGATAAGTGTATATCTCACAGTATATACACCGATAAGTGTATATCTCACAGTATATACACCGAGAAGTGTATACCTCACAGTATATACACCGAGAAGTGTATACCTCACAGTATATACAAGCTAATAGTATTTTGATCCTTACTAACTGGGACAAAACACATACAACCCGCACACAGGACTATGACACTTATGACGACGTTGCGGTCCAACTTAGACTATCAACTAGTTACAATGACTACTACTACTACTACTACTATAACTACCACTACTATCTTACTGTCTCTTCTGGTTCTAGTCCCGGGCCCGCCGCTCCCCCCCCCTGCTTTCCTTCACTCTTCTGCGTTACCAGTTAAAGATCCAAGTGGTAACGTTGTCATAATGTTACTTGTTCAATGTTCTTTATTTCAAGAACTGAATAATTTTTGACTGGTAGTGAACAGGTTACATGCAGCCTTAATGACCCTCGTGTAGACTGCACGTGCAACACATCAGACTGCATGTGCAACACCTCAGACTATATGTGCAACACATCAGACTGCACGTGCAACACATCAGACTGCATGTGCAACACATCAGACTATATGTGCAACACATCAGACTGCACGTGCAACACATCAGACTGCATGTGCAACACATTAGACTGCATGTGCAACACAGACTGCATGTGCAACACATCAGACTGCATGTGCAACACATCAGACTGCACGTGCAACACCTCAGACTATATGTGCAACACATCAGACTGCATGTGCAACACATCAGACTGCATGTGCAACACATCAGACTGCACGTGCAACACATCAGACTGCACGTGCAACACATCAGACTGCACGTGCAACACTTCAGACTATATGTGCAACACAGACTGCATGTGCAACACATCAGACTGCACGTGCAACACCTCAGACTATATGTGCAACACAGACTGCACGTGCAACACATCAGACTGCATGTGCAACACATCAGACTGCACGTGCAACACCTCAGACTATATGTGCAACACAGACTGCACGTGCAACACCTTAGACTGTATGTGCAACACATCAAACTGCACGTGCAACACCTCAGACTATATGTGCAACACAGACTGCACGTGCAACACATCAGACTGCACGTGCAACACATCAGACTGCACGTGCAACACCTCAGACTGCACGTGCAACACTTCAGACTATATGTGCAACACAGACTGCATGTGCAACACATCAGACTGCACGTGCAACACCTCAGACTATATGTGCAACACAGACTGCACATGCAACACCTTAGACTGTATGTGCAACACATCAGACTGCACGTGCAACACCTCAGACTATATGTGCAACACAGACCACGTGCAACACCTCAGACTGCACGTGAAACACATCAGACTGCACGTGCAACACCTCAGACTGCACGTGCAACACCTCAGACTATATGTGCAACACAGACTGCATGTGCAACACATCAGACTGCACGTGCAACACCTCAGACTATATGTGCAACACAGACTGCACGTGCAACACCTTCGACTGTATATGCAACACATCAGACTGTACGTGCAACACCTCAGACTATATGTGCAACACAGACCACGTGCAACACCTCAGACTGCACGTGCAACACATCAGACTGCACGTGCAACACCTCAGACTGCACGTGCAACACCTCAGACTATATGTGCAACACAGACTGCACGTACAACACCTTCGACTGTATGTGCAACACATCAGACTGCACGTGCAACACCTCAGACTATATGTGCAACACAGACTGCACGTGCAACACCTTAGACTGTATGTGCAACACATCAGACTGCACGTGCAACACCTCAGACTATATGTGCAATACAGACTGCACGTGCAACACATCAGACTGCACGTGCAACACATCAGACTGCACGTGCAACACCTCAGACTGCACGTGCAACACTTCAGACTATATGTGCAACACAGACTGCATGTGCAACACAGACAGTACGTGCAACACCTCAGACTATATGTGCAACACAGACTGCACGTGCAACACCTTAGAATGTATGTGCAACACATCAGACTGCACGTGCAACACCTCAGACTATATGTGCAACACAGACCACGTGCAACACATCAGACTGCACGTGAAACACCTCAGACTGCACGTGAAACACCTCAGACTGCACGTGTAACACCTCAGACTGCACGTGCAACACCTCAGACTATATGTGCAACACAGACTGCACGTGCAACACATCAGACTGCACGTGCAACACCTCAGACTATATGTGCAACACAGACTGCACGTGCAACACCTTAGACTGTATGTGCAACACATCAGACTGCACGTGCAACACCTTAGACTGCATGTGCAACACATCAGACTGTGCGTGCAATTACAACTACTGATGCCAATAACAAAATCCCCCCAACAAACACAGAATACAACCTCGTTCATATTTGCTAATATACAGGGCCTTAAGCCATCCACCAACAACAAAATACCTTTTATCAGTGGACTTCTAGTGGAGTCTAATGCAATGTTTGCAGCCTTCACAGAGACTCACACAAAAGATCACTTTGACAGTGAAATATGGATAAGTGGTTACAACTTTTTTAGATGCGACAGAAAAAACAGGCAACAAGGGGGGGTTGGCCTGTATGTCAAAGAGTCCCTTATCTGCATGGAGTTGCTGAACACCACAAATGAGGTAGTTGAAGTTCTATCAATAAAGATCGAGAACCAAAACCTAGTCATTGTGGTTGTATACAAGCCACCAGATGCAACCTCACAACAGTTCAAGGAACAGCTACTGAAAATCGATTACTGTTTGGAAAACCTTCCAGCTCCATCCCCAAACATCTTACTGCTTGTGATTTCAACCTAAGGCATACAAAATGGAAGAATGTAGCAAATAATGTTATAGCTGAAACAATCCCCGGAGGTAGCGCAGATGAAAGGTCACACACACATGAGCTACTAAGTCTCTGCGAAAAACACACCTTAAGCCAGCAGATAGTGGAGCCAACAAGACTAGAAAAACACACTTGACCTTATCTTCACAAATAATGAGGACCTGATAAGAGACATAAGAATACAAAAACAACTAATTCCGATCACAATCTAATCGAAGTCCAGACGTACATGCATAGGGGTCCCCGAACAGCAGAATGCATGTACCTGTGAAGGTGTCTTCACAAAATACAATTTCAACAACAAGAACATCACTGGGACCAGGTAAACCATGTCCTAAACGAAACAATGTTGGGAAGATGTCTTAAATGACATGGATCCAAACCAGTGCCTTGAAAGGATCAACTTCCTGGGAGCCGAAGCATGTTCTAGGCATATTCCA